TTTCAGAATGAGAGGGATGCCAAGGGTGGTATCTTGGTGAGCACTCAGGGAGTTGAGGCAAGAGGAGTTCAAGCCCAGCCTAATCTAGATAAGTGTGTTTCAGGTTGGCCTGGGCCACAGTAAGACCCTGTCTCAATAAATAAATAGAGTGCCATTGAACTGACTTTTACATTTTGTCTTTATTTCTGAGTTTTTAGCACTTAAGAAAGATGATGCACTATGATACAATATTCACAAAATAATAGTTCTATGATAATGATATATATTATTATAACTTGGAAGCTGTTGACATGACATGGCATGTTAGAAATCTTGACTAATGTTGGCAACTTCTACTTATATTCTATCTAAACATGAAGTTATATTAGGGAACATGGAAACAGGCTCCACTGTGGAGTAGCTTACATGGTATAAGTAACGTTGGTCATTTTAATTTCAGTTAATAATTCTTTGGTGGACTTTGATAGATTACAAGGTCTTTAGCAGATGCTTGGGAAGGTGGAGTAGGGATGGATTTTTTTTTTGTGTGTGTGTGCATAATTTTTTTTTCATCTCAGAATTTTTCTTTTCTGAGAAAAAAAAATGTCTGACCCACAGTGATCTCATATCACAGTCCTAGAGACAATGTACAGGATGTCCTCTAACCATGAGAACTGCTCTGCATACCCAGTTCAGGTGTTGGACTATGTGGCACTAGGTTGCAGCATTGCTACAGTGGAATCTGAGCACCAGGTGCCACTGTGCATTTCATTTTCAGAAGACATTTGGAAGCAGAATGGACTTTGAGCTGAAAAAACCCTGAGCTACCTGAGCACAGTTGTGAAGCAGCAGCCTGGACTTCCTGTTCATCTGATGTAGGAAGCTTGGACTACTTTAATTGGAAGGAGTAAGACATTTGTTCCTTTACCTGTTGTACTTCAAAATGCTTGCATTGATTTTAGTAGCTTTGCCAAGTCGGACCTCTTTCACTCATAAAAAATTTAAAGATGACTCTGATGACATTTCACCAAGTAGCTGGAAAATTTCATTTGGTCACATATCCACACCTGTCAGCGTACATTTGTCAAGGATTTTATTTTAAGATGCTTGACAATGGAAAACCAAAAAACTTAGTTCTTGAAGACCTTTTTTAAAAAAGCCAAGAAACCAGAGTATTTGATAGAGGTATCTAAATGGGATTCTTAAGACCTCATTCTTTAGAAGAACAAAGATAAATTTTGGCTCTTTGTGAGGTTTAAAGTTGGACTGACCATTCCTGCCACTCATCTCTGAGACCTGCTTCACACTGGTAATAACTTTTTGTCTTTTGATTAAACCAAGGGAAATAATTATTTTGGAAGCAATGAAGCAAGCAACTTCATTGTGATTGTGTTGTGCGTAGGACATCTGTGCAGAGCTTTTTGCATTAGAGTAACATATACTATGATACTATTCCATGTGAGGAAACATCTTAAAGACTACAGAGTAGCCGTTGTTTCTTATACAGTGGAACCACTCCGTGCCATGTATATTCCCCGCATGTGGACTTTAGAGTTAGTGTTGTCTGCTTGATACTCTTGCTGTGTAAACTTGGGACAAACCACTTAATATCTCTAAGCCTCGATTTTATCTGGATAAATGCAGAGAATCTTTGTGAAACTATTTTAACTTACCTTTAATGCATATAGCAACACAATTGTTGACTGGTGTGGCGGCACATGCCTGTAATCTAAGCACTCTGGAGGTGAAGGAAGACCTATCTGAAGACTAAAGCCAACCTGAGCTAAATAGTGAGACGCTGTATCAGACATCCATGGCTGGGAAGGTGGCTCAATGTTGGATCGCTTGTATACCATGTACAAAACCCTAGGGTTCATCCTCAGCACCAAAGGGGGTAGGAAGTAAGTAAGCATAATTGCCTGCAGCATGTTAAGTCTTCGGCAAACAAACGATATCTAAATGAATTACTGAGAATTGGCACTGGTAGCCAATTATTAAAAGTTATAAATCCATTTTAGGCTTACACAATACAGGTTTAGTGAATAAGAGCTGCACAGTCATAACTCCAATTTATGTTTTGCCAAATAGCAGGGTAGAGACAAATGACAGAATGGGAGAAAGGGAAGTGGGAAAACATGAAAGGACAGAAGAGGAAAGTGGAGGCTGGCAAAATAAAGAAGGGAGGAGTCTTAGAGAAAAGCGTCAAGCAGGAGGAAGGAAGTGGGAAACACCAGATAAGAGCAGGTCGCCAGAATTCACCAAATCCTGCCAAGACCAGGTCGCCTAGGCCACAGACAACTAGCACTCAACTCGGGGCGGGGCCGGACGGGAGGGCGGGGCTCTGGGAATCCCTGCCCCGAAGGCGCGCTTTAGGAAGGCGGGACTTCCTGCCCGGGTAACCGCTATTGCCGGAAGAGCTGAGCCCTAGGATACCGTCTGTTGAGCAGCGCAGCGCAGGTGAGGCGGGTCTTACCCCTCCATCCTTTCTTTCGCGGGTCGGTGGTCGAGTAGCGGGGCCGGGACCCTAGTGGGCGGCGGGCGATCTGGGCCCCTGTTGGGCCGGGGCCGGGTGCCCCTTCCCTACGGTGCTGTCGGCTGCGGGGCCGAGGGAGTCGGGAAACAGCCGAGTGGGTTCGCCCTGGCGATCGTACTTGATCTTTGAGGCCGTGAGTCTAGGCTAGAATGATTGTCAGACTCTGCAGAAGCGCTCGGGATCTGGCGCGTCCCTGGGTCACGAAATCCCAGTGTGAGGGATGGGCAAGCCGGGGTCGGTGCTGTCCGCCGCCGTCGGGAGCGGGGACAGGTGACCGGAGAGGGGCGCGGCTGTAGGACCGAAACATAAAGTATGCATAGCTTTGAGAAAGTGAATGCTGAAAAGAATGTGACTCCTGTGAAAAAGATCTTGAGACCAAGAGATCTCTGGAATAAAATGATTTGTTGAGCCATTTAAACATTCTAGCCTGAAAAAGGACCAGAGCCATTTAAAGATTCTAGCCTGAAAAAAAAAGGTTGAATTTATAAAGGCTTTTTATTGGTTCCCCCCCCAATAAAAAACCACAGACAACTGTTACCTAGTTGACTTCCCTAATTTCTTTCCTCTTCTGGTCTTATAAATTCCAGGACATCTCAGAAATTTTCATTTATCAGTCCCTGTTCAGCAAGAAATATATCAAAGGAATTGAGAAGATCAGCATGCACACAAATTAGTTACACTATGCCAGGATAGTGTTAGATCTAGGCCAGACCAGGACTGGGGGATGTCAGTCACACTGGGAACCTCAGCTGCTCCCTGGTACAGAGAGTTTCCTATTTATATTTGCAGGCATGCGTCTCTCCTGAGCCTGGATCCATACTTGTTCAGTCATCTGACATTGCCATTTGACTTCACAAAGTAGCCCCACCATACACTAAGTAAATGCTTGATCATCTTACCTTGTACCAAGATCTGGAACTTGACTCTGTTGCTTTCTTTTTTTAGTAAGTGACATCACTGCCCATTCAGTGGGGAATCTGGGCATATTGAACTCTTCCCTGTACTCCATATTCAATCTGTTAACTTGTCCCCCAAAATCAAGTACTCTAAGTTTCTCAGCCTATAACATCCTCTTCTTAGGTTTAAGCTAAACATCAGGTCTCCTGTGGACTTCTGCATTCTAAATCTAAAAGCTCCTGATCTATTTACCCACACCAGCTCTTTGCTTTTCCCTCCACCCTCCTGTCCGTTCTGTTCAGTAGCCATAGGGAAATGGTTCCTTGCAGTTCTTAGAGTCTTATGTCAGAGGTCCCCTGTAAAGGGTGACTCCTGCCCCTTGCCAGCTGTGTGTCTTCCCATTCTCCTTGATCTCTGGGCTAGGCCACCTTTCAGTTCCTTTACATCTGCTGTCCTGCATTTGAGCTAGGCAGTGCTGTTTACCTGACCTTGTGGTCCGGAGGAGGGCATTGGGTCTCCCTCCCTGTCACTATCTATTCCTTTGAGGCACAGTATCTCCCTGGATCTAGGGCTTTCATTTTCTCAGCTAGGCTGGAAGCCAGCAAGCCCCAGCAGTCCTCCTTTCTCTGTCCCCCTTGGAGCTGAGATTACAGGTGTGCTTGGGATATTTGGTTGATGCTGGGTTCTGAACTCTGGCCCTCTTGATTGTGCAGCAAGCACTGTTAAGCACTGAGCCATCTCTCTACCACCACCCCCCC